AAGAAGATTCAGTAAACCGAAAGCCAATCGGAGGAGATATTTCCAAAGCCAAGTCCAGTAACAGTTCCTATCTCAACTCTACATGATGAGTTTATACTTCTCTTTGATGAACCAAAAAAGGCTATTACTTCTGAACATAAAATAATAGACAACAAAGATGATGAATTCAAGAAAATCATAGACGATGCTATGAAATATATGGGAAACAAACCTCCAAGTTCAACCAAACCTCCAAATTCAAGCGAAACAACAACAACAACAACAACATACACACCATTGCAGGGGGAGCTCTCATCTTCATCACCTAAAGTGTCTTTTGAGAGGGGGCATCCATCTCCAAGTACCACCCATGAACATCCAGTTGAGGGTGAGCAATCTGAACCCGAGAGCGAAGATCCATCATCATTCGAGGGGGAGAATAAAGAATCGAATGATGATTTGGATGTACAATCTAAATTCGAAGAAGTAAATGCCGAACTGGATCCTTCTTATGATCCAAATTATCCTCCACTAACGAAATGGACAAAAGATCACCCAAAAGCTCAAGTCATAGGCAAATCATCTACAGGTGTCCGCAAACGATCCCAGTTAAAAACGAAACAAAATGCATTCTTCTCTAAGATGGAATTTTGTATGTTCGACTCATTCATTTCTAAGGTCGAACCCAAAACTATCAACACAGCTTGTGATCACTCTGATTGGGTGCAAGCGATGCAAGACAAACTCAATGATTGAGCAAAACAAAGTCTGGAGATTAACACCAACTCCACCAGATGCATCAGTTGTTGGTTTAAAATGGGTGTTTCACAATAAGGTGGATAAAGAAGGCAATGTTATTAGGAACAAGGCGAGACTCATGGTAAAGGGATATTGTCAAGAAGAGGGTATAGACTACGAAGAAACCTTCGCACATGTTGCGAGATTGGAATCGGTTCGTATCTTTCTAGCATATGTAGCACACAAAAATTTTGAGGTGTTTCAAATGGATGTCAAATGTGCTTTCTTGAATGGTGAACTGGAAAAGACAATATATGTCGAGCAACCATCAGGTTTTGTGAACGAGAAATTTCCCAATCACTGCTACATTTTGGGTAAATTTATTTATGGTCTAAAGCAAGCGACAAGAGCCTGGTATGAAACTCTAACTCGTTTTCTTAAAATGTCAAAATTCAAACAAGGTTCGGTTGACCCATCCTTCTTTCGTAAGAAAGAAGGTGACCATCTAATGATCATCCAAATTTATGTCGATGACATCATATTTGATTCTACGAATCCTAGCTTAACAGCTGAGTTTTGCAAGTTGATGGAGACTAAATTTGAGATGAGCTCAATGGGTCTAATTAACTTTTTCCTTGGGCTGAATATTAGACAGGGATCAGAAGGAATTTTCATAAATCAGGAGGCTTACACCAAAACCTTAATGGCGAAGTTTGGCATGATGGGAGATTCAAAAGTGAAAGTTTCAATGGCATTCGGAACAAAATTGACACCATCTCTGGATAAACTGACTGTTTATATGACTCTGTATCGTCAAATGATAGGATCATTGATGTATTTAATAGCTAGTAGGCCAGATATTATGTTTTTCATCTGTTATTGTGCAAGGTTCCATGCAAATCAACACGAACCTCATATGGTGGCAGTCAAGAACATCTTCAGATATCTGAAACAAACTTCATCTCTTAGAATATGGTATCCTGCAAACTTAGGATTTTTCGTGCAAGCATTCTCTGATGCTGACCTAGGGGATGTGGTTTAGATAGAAAAATCACGATTGGTGGATGCCAAATTCTTGATGGCAAACTAGTGAGTTGTCAATCTAAGAAGCAAACATGTGTTTCGTTGTCAACAGATGAAGTTGAGTATATAGTTGTAGCTTTGTGCACCTCCCAGGTTATTTGGATTCAAAACCAACTTTGTGACTATGGCTTAAGTATGAAACGAATCCCACTCTATTATGACTCTGAAAGTGCAATTCACATTTGTCACAACCAATTGCAACACTCCAAAACGAAACATGTAGCACTGAGGTATCACTTCATCAAGGATCACATGGAAGATGGAAATGTTGAGATACATTTCGTAAGATCCGCTGATCAGTTAGCTAACATATTCACTAAGGCTCTTCCTGAACCAACATTTAATAGAATCCTTCAAGGGCTAGGAATGATGGAAGCTGAATCAGTACCAAAACCACCTTCGTACTAATAAATAAATGGTTGCAAACTGGTGCGAACACTCGCAGTCTCTCGCAGACAACGTTTCATTCTATTTTCCTTATTGTTGTGTATCGTTGCGAACGCTCGTAGGAGTTCTTTGTTCATTGCTCATTCGTGGTTTGGTCTCTTATATCCTTTTGTACTTTTTATATATTTTTTATTGTCTTTATTTCACTCCTTTTCTATTTTTTTTTAAGAAAAACCCAAAATCCAAAAATATTTTGCTCTTCATTATGTTTTTCTTTATTTTTTTTATTAAAACAACAAAAATATTTTCTTTTGTGTTTAGTTTTATTCTTTTATTTTACACAAAAATTTAAAATACCAAAAATAAATGATAGCGACGCTCATGACAACACATATCCAGACTTATTCTACTTCACTTGATGGGGTAGGTATAAACTTATTTATCTATGTATCAGTTACGTGTCCCTAGAAGCATGCTGTTGTATGTTGTCCGAAGCCTCACTCGACTCAATGTGAAGCCTTAATGAATCAAATCTACCATTTGTTTCTTCCCAATTAGGCTGCTAAATTCACATAATTCATGAGCTACCTTACTCTTCTAATGATAAGTTAAGAGTTTTCTGTTTTGTCGCTCTATCACAGCAGAGGTACTTTCACTTTCTCTGGAACCACCTCACAATTTCTCCATTACTTTCTTTTTCATCAGTGTAACCCTCGAAAATCTCAGCACATACCACTGAGGTTTATGGTTATGAAAAATAGGTGTTCATGATCTTAGCTTCGTATACCACGATCTAAGTGAAACCCATAATCCAACACACTTATATGAATTGACGGTGTACAGTTACAACTTCTAGCTTTTCACTCACAAATTGACGAAAGTCGTTGTATGTACCATGAAATCTCTTTTATCTTTAGATCTTTATGAAGTGTTCTACCACCAAGTCACGTCTTCCCAAAGGATCCAGTTTTGATTTTGTTTGAGATTTCAAAATATTATCTTGTCACTACTATAACTACGAACCTACTCGCTCAACTGACTACATTGGTCACACGAGTACTCCATCTAACATTTGTTCTTATATCAAGTTCTTTGTCCATATTCGAGAGTAAGCCACCCATTTAGCCAAAATAAAAGAAGCCTTTCATTGTTTCTTATAAGACAGGTGATCGTATTTTAACGAGAAACCACACTGACACTTCTTGGTCTCTCTTCACTTCGAAGGAAGAAATATTTGCCCGAGATTAACAGATTTATGTCATCACGTAGACATCACACACTTTCCCATATATACTTGATTTATTTCTTTATCTTTGACACTCTTGCACGAAGATCCTTGTGATCTTCCAAAAGTCTTGTTCGTGGTTCTCTATCATTTCTTTCAAGTTCGTTGTTTAATCTAAGATTTCAAAAAGGTGAAGATTCGTAAGAGTTGAACAACGAATATTTAACTGCGAAAGATGGATGATGACGAGGCAACTTTTGATGATAAGAATTCAAAAAGGTACGTGCAGAATTTGAAACAGACAGCTGTTTTTTCGCCGCATGACGCACAGGTCTGGCATCTATAGCTGTCAAGTCACGCTTTTTCAGGCGACGTTTCAGTACCCGATGCTTTCTCTCTCCGGATTTTCCTCACAATTTGAATACTATATAAAGAATTTAATGGTTCAAATCTCATTATCTCTTTTAAAATCTTCTACAAAAGATATCCGGAAAACAAATCGCTATCTATTGTTCATCATCTTCTCCAAACTTGCAACAATGGTGACTTCATCATTCGTTCATGATCAAAATGTTCATTCTTCTCTACTGGCGGTCAAACCTAATCAAAATCTTCTGATTGATCTAAATCCTTGCAAATATAAGCCATATCTTCTATACATAATCGAGTGTCTCAAGTATTCACCATTAGTTCATGCTCTAACCAAAATGGAGGATATTCCAATGTCTCTTCTTTCAAAGGAATATTCTTCTGCAAGCTAGATCAGTGTGGAGAATTGTATTATTTTTGACATTCATGATCAGAAAACCTCCATCACCAAAACCGGATTTTGTTCCCTTCTAGGGCTTCCACAGTCAGAGGATATGATTAATCCTGAAACAATAACTAGCGTTTCTCTCCTGGAGATGTTTTATCAAATGGGATACAAGGAGTCTTTGTCTACTCTTTCAAATTTCCGCAAGCTTAACCTTCCTCCTCAATGGAAGGTTTTATTCACGATCTTGTTCAAAATATTTTCTGAAAGAATTACAAGATCTGACTGTGCAAGTAAGTTATTCATAACCATCATCTATGGAATCTATATAGGGATGAACATCGATTATGGAGCCGTTCTATGGGCTCAGGTGATTCAAAGCATTTGTGTGATCCCTAGTGCAAGGTTTTGGTCTCTAATAGTTCGCAGGTCCATTGCTAAGCACAAAATTCCCCTGATGCAGATGCCCTTGCCTTCACAGTTTCCACCCTTCATACAACAGGGATTATTGTTGCCGATCCATCAAAGTTCATATTTATTGGATCTATCTCTGAAGTTATGTTTTGGGATGTTCCTGCTTCAAGTAAACTATTGGAAGGCTTTTGCAAACTTACACCTTTAGGGTTTAGGCCACTTACTTCAGAAATGCAAGTAGTTCTTGATACCGCTGACAAACTAAAGAAAGGTGGAAAAGGGTAAAAGAAAGAGGTTAAGAAGGTCGGTGCTTCTGAAGGTCCCTTTGGTGCCACAAAACCTTCTCCTAAAAAGCGAAAGGCACCCGCAACATCTTCTACGCCCGCTCCAAAATGAAGAAAACAACCGGCTCGTAAGCGGATGACTCCTATTCCCTTAGTAAGAAAAAACTCAAATTCTGAGACTGATTCAGATGTCCGTCTTGAAACAACTCAACCAATTCGCAATGAGGAGGAAATCCCGATTTGCAATGAGGAGGCAGAGACAGTTCACAATCAAGAGCGTCTGATTCATAATGAAGAAGATACTACGAACCGAGAGGAACTTCAATTTGTTCATGACTCAGTTCCTTCTCCTCCTTCTCCAAAACCAACCACCATTCCCATTACTATTGCTCCCTATCTACCCCCTGTTATCTCATCTCAACCTACAATAGTTCCCATTTCAACACCAATCTTAACCACTTCAACTACCAATCTCATTACTTCAACGATTCCTGATGTTACGATCGACGTACCAGATACAAGGGCCACAAATTCAATGTTCACTACCTCTGTTTCTTCATCTGTTTCTCCTATTCTTAATAATGATCCATAAATGATATTTACTAAAGTTGGTGATGAAGATGACCTAGGCGGATTCACTTATAGTCCATTCCAGATCAGGACTGATAGTGAAGATGAAGCCTCGATTTCCAAAGGTCAGCTAAAAGCTATTAATGAGAAGCTTAATCAACTATTGCTAGCCTCCAAGGCTTCTTATTCTGATGCATATTCAAAAGCAACAGTTCAATCCTTATTTGAGTGAATAACGATGGAACATGAAGAAAATGCTAGGAAGATGAATGCAGCAGTTTTTGAATCTGCTGAAGTCTGCAAATCTATGACCGAAAAAGTCAATAAACTAATTTCTAAGATGATCAATTTCATGGAAACTTATAGAACAACCTATAAGCACAATACTGCCTCTGCAAATGAAGCCCTTCAGAACTTGGTGCAATGTTTCAGACTGAGAAGATCAATTTGGAAAAGATTTGCACTGGGCTGCAACAAGACTCTGCATCGTTCCAAACATCTCTTACTTCTTAGATTACAAAGCTTCAGGATGAATCGACGATGGATAAGATCCGCATTGGGCTGCAACAAGACCCTTGCGAGGAAGACAGAAAATGTCAAGGTGTTAGATACTAAACTTCAACAGTCTGATAAACGGGTCCATGATTTGTTATCAAAGAAGGAGGCAGTGCGAACTTGCATTACTGATGTTACCAGTTTACTCTCTGATATCATTGAGACCAGGGACTCAATGATATCTATTACACTTCATAAACACCTTGCTGAGAAGTTAAACCCTGTCTTCGCAATGTTATATCGGCTGCAAGGTGTTTCTCCTCAGTCTTCTAAATAGAAACAAAGGGGAGAAGGTGCATCAAAGTTTCAACCTCAGAAAGTCTTTGCCAAGCCCATTATCAAGAACGGACCTAAGGGCAAGGGAAAGTTGATTGAAGAAGAGCCAATAACTGATGACGATGAAGATGAAGATTCTGATTGTAACAAACCGTTATTTCAAATCTATGTAATATTATAAATCAATTTGTAGTTCTTTTTAAAATAATAACGAGAAATTTTTGTATACTATGTGCATTTACATAATCGACCCTCAAAAATGAAGTATTAAATAATCTTGAGTGGGATGAATAAAGTGGTAGAGATTGTGTCAAGGATTCCAAAACTATAAAGAATGCCCAAATCCGAGTTATAACAAAGAAGTTATGACCAATCAAAGATCCGCGATAAAATCGGCAAAACACTGTTCAGCGTAAAAAGTGAGTTTTCAATAAAATGCTTTAACAATCTAAATGAAAGTTGTAGAATACGTTAAACTGAGAACTTTCATAAAAAGAACGTCAAAATCTGACTTAGAATGAGGAATTATGAATTTTCTAAAATTCAGTATAGCAGTATACAGCTAAAAACTCAAAATAAAGATCGAGTGAATTTTAGCCGACACAACCTAAACGAGAATCGAAGGTCTCGTCAATAGTAGTACAACGGTAAAAAGACAGACGAAAATAGACGTCGTATGAAGAAGTTATGAATTTTTAACAGATTTTCCTGGCCCGGTCTGTTAAAAATAATAATATTAAAAATAAAGTAAAAATTAGCTGATGGAGTCTAAATAAAAGTCGTAGAGTATAATCTCATCTTCTCGTGCATATAAAGAACGTTGAAAACGGAGCTCAAATGTGAAAGTTATAAATTTCGGAAGTTTTGGGCACAAAAACCAAAAAATCTTGAAAACCGTGAAATTTTGCATGGCTAAGAACCAGACACGTCACCTCGCATGCGAGTCCGCCTCATGTCACCCTCGTGTCCACTGTTGATTCATTCGAAGGCGCGGCCCAACCCGATTTCAACGTGTGTTGTGTCCGTGGTGGCGGTTGAGATGCGACGCGTATGATGCCTCCGAGACCGACGCCAGGCCTCCCCTTGCTTCCGAAGTAGACACCTGCCTCCCCGCTCGCCACTTGTCCGAACGCGTGTCACTTTCTCCTCTTTTCGGACCGAATCCTCACCCCTATATAAAGGGTGTGAGATTCTCCGGTTCCTACACCTCTTTTACTCCATTTTTTCACACTTTTTCACTTCTTTCACTCCCATAAACCTCCTTACAACCCCCCAAAGCCCTGGTATCATATCTGACACCCTAAGAAAGCCCTGAAGTTTTAAATCTTGTAGCATATACTTTGCCCGAGTAAAGCCGGTTTTTCATCAAAAACTCTCAGTTACATCAAGAAAACTCCTTTCTAAGAAACGAAACGTTGCCCAAATCACCACCTATCAAGTGAGTTCATACCCACGTATTTTCATAGATTTTAGTATTTTAAGAGGGGGGGGGGGGGAATACAAGTCCAACACAAGGATTTTGTGTTACAAACAAATGATTTCAAATTCTAATAAAATGACATCAAGTTATCAAAAGTATTTCAAAATATTAAACTTTTTATAAACTTATATTTTCCCTAAAAATTATATATATATATATATATACACACACACACACACATATATATATATATATATATATATATATATATATATATATAAGATTTAAAAGACTTAGGATTGATAACTTTATTTCCTTTTCCTTGTTTGGATGTGGATTTAAGGTATCGATTATTTGTCTAACTGTCATTTCAATTTTACTTACATATCTTGTGTGTGTGTGTGTGTGTGTGTGTGTATATATATATAAGTTATTTCAATCAGTGTTAACACCCTTTGTAAACACATCGATCAAAGGGGTTGCATTCATGAATAGTTAGTAACAATACAGAAAGTATATATAAATTATAATAGGTATAATTTATGATTCAAGAACGCTAACTCACGAGTCAAGTATACACTAGAGTACACTATTTTACAAGAACATGGATTTATACTATTGTACAAGAACAATAGTTTGATTCATAACTAAACAACAGTATACAACTTTTAAGTAAATTTAGAGAACACTAAACAAGGAGCATATTATCAATCATTTATTTCGGAATGATTGGGTTTTTATTATACACGTAACGTTTATATGCTTTTTATGAGACAACATGTTCAGGTTGTTTATTCATTTAAACAACATAGTTAAAGTCCTGATATTATAACCAGAATCTCCATTCGGGGATCGAAACAAGTGTGTATAGATCTATATTGGGATTGACAACCCCGCACTCGGGCTGCTAGCTACAGTCGGGCATACACGCATATGAGTGACAATTGTTATCAACAGTTCAAACACCTTCAAAGCGTTTTTTTTCGGCCATCTAGTCATAGTATGGTTATAATAACTCATTAAAAAGATATTAACAATATGTTAGTGTATAATTAACTAAACATGAGTACATTTTCAAAGTACTAGTTTGCATAGATACAATTTATAGTATTACATTACAGTTTACAATAACAGCTGGTGGAGCCAAGAACATTCACTTTTACAGGTTTTACAAAAGCATACAAACACAGAACAATGGTTTACAAATAGAACGGTTTTATGTGATTAAAACTACTTTTCATATACAATAGAAAATATAGGATTTTCTAGAATGACTTACATATTCAAATAACATAAAACATACTTTTAAACACAAATTTTTATGCACTCGCTCAAATTTATGTTGATACTCTCTTTTCAAATTATTTGTATTCTCATGGAAACAATAAACAGGTACTCCCCGAGCTTTTTGAGAAGATGGAGCCATTTTGAGTCATAGCTTCTGTATTTTGCTATAACTATTTTGGTGTCAATACACAGTGATTGAACACATGTAAATACTTTTACTTTTTAAATGCAATGGTTGTTTGTACTTTGATTACTATGATGCATGTGTTGTGATACTACAAATGAAGTCCTCCACCCCCAGACATTTCCGCCGTCTGGTTTGGGGGTGTGACACAGATGAAGCTGAACTTAAAATGTGGAAGGCTCGCGACACTGAACTTAATGAAACTTAGTGAATCGTCAAAGAGGCTGAAGAGAAAGAAAGAGCAGAAAGGGAAGCTCAGGCCACTCTCAAGAGCAGAATGTTATTATTTTCGAAGTGGACCTTGAAGAAAATTCAGCATGATGCTCTGGAGCTGCCCAGTCAATATTGGTTAGATATTGTTGCGTCTTTTGATCATCAAAATACTCAGTATTCGCAACTTGATCTTCCAATCACTCTAAAAGCATTCAGGTTCTGTGCTTTTGTGAAAGTTGTGAATGCTCTTTTCACAGACAACAATGTTGATCAGATGTTGTTCTCTTTTTACTTAAAGCACATGAAGCCTCATTAAGAAACCTGAAGAGCGCACAAAATCGTTGTTGTGAAGGTCACTGGGCCAATCGAGACTGAAAGCTTCCCGAATATGAAGTTTAAGGTTATGAGATAGTCAACATGTCAGGCCTACGAATTCACTCTCGCAGACTTTCCTTGCTTGAATCCTAATGACTGGATCATTCTTTACAACATGTTTCTACGAGAAAAATATAAGTACAATCCTGTGATGTGCCATCTTAAACTTATGATCAAGTCATATATTCAAGAAGTTGGTTCGATGGATGTGGATATTGCCACTGTTTTGAAGAAGAATACAACAGCTGTTCCCAAGGAAGCTCCGAAAGACTTGGAGAAGTTAAAGCCACGGAAGATATACAAGGAAGTATGGTTCGTGGTGTATCAGTCCAGAGAACAAACGGGAGCAGACGTTCGCAAGTCATACTTCTATCTCGATGACAAACATCTCTACAACACTGCATGTCTAGAATTTATATTGGACCTGATCACCAAGTTTAAGGGAAACCATCAAGATGATCTCAAGTGCTTTTCAGATATGCTTTTGTGGTACATCAACGTTCGCAAGTTGCTGTTGAGCTTTATTCCAAAAATTTACGAAGTATAGAATCGAATCACTAGCTGATGGGCTACAGTCTCCATTGACGCAAAGGGGAAGATTGTTGAGTATTTATGTGTTGCGTCATTGGGCCTTATTTTAGTCCTTTTTGTAAACGGCTTGGGCCTGTCCAACGTATTTAATATTAGGGTTAGAGTATATATGGTGCATGCATGCATCTATTATACTTAGCTATTGAATTGATAATTTTGTAACCCTAGCACACCTCTACAGTAGCAATTCTTCATAAAGTTCTTTTGAGGTTGTGCCTTTTAATCATTTGAAACCATTTGATACATTTTGTGTGTGTATTTTCTTAATCGTGCTTATACTATACTTGTTAGAGTCCAATCGATCTAAAAGGATTTTATTCCTAACACATTTGTTAGATTTAACTAGTTTTGGATGTTATGAACTTTTGGTCATTTTAGTGCATAAAGTTTAGATCTTGAAAATTTGTGACCTTGTTATGGATAAAGTTGGAAACTTTATCCATCTAAACATCATTTCGATTCAGATTTGAAAGTTGGACACTTGTACTTAATGGATTCAGTTGAAAAAGATGAACTTTTGGGTCCCTTGAGACTTAAAGACTAAATCTTATTTGTTGGGACCATTAATTTGGAAACTTTATCCATTATAAATCTATTATGAAATATAAAAATATGATCTTGGCCCTTCTATCCCTTCCATGCAAGAGTTGTGATGTCTTATTAGGTTAAGAACTTAAGGTTTTGGACATTAAGCACTTTATAGCCATGCAAAGTCATAAATATGGAAACTTTATGACTTAGGACATCATTTTGGGTTGAGATCTGACTTTTGGATGTAAGAACTTAATGGAATAAGCTCTTAATGAAGGTCTGGGACTGGGCTATGTACGTTGGGCATACCTAGTGGTACGTTACGCATACGCGGTCAGTGCCCCGCTATTGGTCAACATCAAAGTACGTCGGGCATACTCTCTTGGTACGCATGGCGTACTCCGTTGGGAAGAAATATTGACTTTGGGCCTTGACCGTTAACTTTGACTTTGACGAGGGTTGGCTAAGTTGGACCTAAGGTTATTTTGGGTTATCGGGTTAATTATTGATTAAGATTGTATTTATTGTTAGTTGGCGTTAGCCGTGAGGTTATCCGGCTCAGCGGTCTGAGCAGTTATTTGATTATTAGCGAATTGAGGTGAGTTTCCTCACTGTGTTTAACAGGTCGAAGGCACCAATGCTGACCCATGATCTGTTATGTTAGAATACTCATTGTCAGTGTGACACTTGTATGTGTATGTGCTTATATGCTTACTGGTCAGGGCTTGATGGTTATTTTGTATGCCATTACCTGTTATGTTTATATGAATTGTATGTGGGCAGGGCCCATCAAGCGAATTAAGTCAGGGCCCGTTATATTTATTAGGCAGCGCCTATTATGTGAGTTAGGGTGAGGCTTATTATGCGAGTTAGGGTGGGGCCAATTATACTTATTGGGCGGAGCCTGTTATGTGCTATGTATGTATGGTATGTGATCTTTTGGGGAACTCACTAAGCTTTGTGTTTATGGTTTTCAGTTAATGTTTCAGGCACTTTTAGTTTCAAAGGGAAGAACCCGTGATGATTGTTAAGCACACCATTCGTTTCCGCATTTTGTGATTTACTCTGATGATGATGATGATGATGATGTATTGATAAAATCGATTACCTTGGTTTTGTGACAATGATATGGTTTGCTATTTTATTAATTTAAAAATGAAAATTTATGGGTCTTATTTTTGGGACGTTTCACTTTGATTCCTAGGGTGCTTCCAAGTCTGGTTTACATTTTTTTAATTTAAAATTTTTGATGTAAAATTTTGCCTGTAGATAAAACTCAACTTTCTTAAACTAATTTATATTTCAAGTAGTGCGTTGTCTTGAGAAGTAAGGAATAATCTGGATCTGGGAATTATGTTCAGAGCTACTTCAAGCATATGTAAGTTGCTTAAAACTTTTATAGTACTTAATCCTGAAATTGTGATCATATTCTTTAGTAGGATGTTAATCTTTATGTTGGAATGATGATTTATTTTATTTTTGTGCATCTCTAGAAAATTGTTTGATTTATTGCAACAGACATATTAAAATGATTATCTTATTTACATTAGGTTAGCACTATTTCTTATGGTGTTATTTAAAGGAATGCTAATATGAGATTTTCTATATTCATAGGTACCCTTTTACTAATAATCAATTAATTCCCCTAATGGGATCGAGAGAGAGAGAGAGAGAGAGAGAGAAAGAGAGAGAGAGAAAGAGAGAGAGAGAGAGAGAGAGAGAGAGAGAGAGATTGGTGATGCGACGTGCTAAGGTGGTGATTGTCTTCTTGTATTGTTCTCTCTATTAAGATTTTCAAATCAAGAATGCATTTCAAGTTGAGAATTTTGTTGAAATTCGAGGATTTTCATATCGGATACCAGATTTTTCAAAATCAAATCATGCATTTCTCCTATCAATCGCACAGTTCTTAGTTCAATCTCCTCTTCTATTCACATCATTTCAGGTAAGTATGATATGAAATTTTTCACTTCTGTTATTAATTGTGATTTTTTGGGTATCTGCATGCATGTGCATATTTAAACTTGATTCTTCTTGTCTGTAGGAGTCTTGCCCTTCTGTAAAGAACATTCTACTTCTTGATTCAGAAGGAGCTCGAGTAGCGGTTAACTACTACTTAGATGATTACCCAACTAATAATGACACGGTAGGCTATAAAGCTTGGTTACACAATCAAAGATTGAGAATTCCCATGGTGAAATGAAATAGGTCATCTGGGATTTGGCACCTAGCAAAGAGAAACATTGTTTCAAGAATGATGGTATGAAAGTGAATCGATTGTGGTTGTTAATAAAAACTTGAATGATCGATGTAAGGAGGGTGATTGGATTTTATATAGGTTTTTAGTGAGAGTGTTATGTTCCTTTTCCTTAAACACACAGTTGATGCAAATTAGGTGTTATTTTTTATTTTTATGATATGAGTCATTTATATAAACCTGTTGAATTGTACTTTATATTCACACTAGTTTATAACCCGTGTGAACCACAGTTACAAAATTAATTAAACATTTTATGTAAAAACTCAAAATTATTAATTAATTATTTTAAATAACTTATTAATTAAGATATATTTTTTTAGTTATATACAAAATTATAATCATTGATTCAAATAAATACATAAAATTATATCATTTTATAATTTGTATAAATTTTATTTTGTATTTTATTCTTATATTATTAATTTAATGTAATTAGAATGAGAAAGTTAAAATTTAAAATTTGAAGTTCTGAAATGGAAAACCAATAGATTAACTAGTGACATGATATTAATTATATTATCTAACATTGTGACATATGACAAAAGAACTACTTGTTTATTAGTATATGGAGATGGATATATGCTTTGAATAAACAGATACTATAATGGAAACAAATTAAAGTATGATGCTATAAAAGAAAGTAAAACCGATCAATGGTTTGGTTGTCTAATACTTCATTTATCTTTTATTTCGCATTCATAACTTATTATTTTATTATTTTTCTTTTTTTCCCTAAATTAAGCATTTCACTTTGAAAGTACAATGGTTTAATATGATTTTTTTAAGTTAATAATTAGAAAGTATGATGTTGTATTAGAAAAAACAAACGAAAGTACTTTGTTATTTATTGCATTTGTCCCTTCTTTGGGAAAAATACAAGAAATACCAATATACTTTCAATTCTTATAAATCTTTGCTAAAATTAATTGTTTCTTGTATAACTTTCATAATGAACTTTCATTATTTGTAGTTAGGAGTAAAGTTTTTCCCTAGACTATATTCATACAACTACAGATAACTTAATACATTTTCAGAAACCTTTTTATAAATTATAATAAAATATAATTTATGGGATCGTCATTTTAAAAAAAAAAAAAGTAAATTGTTTCATTAACATATTCATTCTTTTGATTATCATTGTTTATGAAAATACCATTTGAAAGTCAAAGACATTGTTATTTTAATTTAATGTCTTATTTATCATGAAAATTTGGTCGAATTAATAGAACAATTTTTCAGTCAATACAATTTGTTTGTTAAAGAATTGTTTAAAAGGATCATTTCTTAATGGGTATTGTTATTATTTATATACGGTTAACTTGAAAGTGTTTTTTTCAGGTGTTTTAAAGGAAACACTTCACTCTAAGTGGCACATTGAGTTCACGATGATCTTTGATGCATAAGAATTTTTATACTATCTTAACTATAGTTTTTGGTTAATTATGTTTTACATACTTGCATTTCTATTGTATTTTTTGTTTAAATTAATTATTAGTATAATCATAATATTAGTTATAAGTAATGTAATTATATTTTGTTAATACCTAAACGAGTTGAGTCGAAAGTTTCAATTGCATTAATGAGCAAACAAAACTTGAGCTTGGAAGATATGGCTCAAGTCGATTTTAGTGTTTGAGCTTTAAGTTTGTGTTTGATAATGCATTGTCTCGAGTAAACTTGATTATAGCTCTTTGTGGACAAGTAAATGAGTTTTTTCTAATCAAACACTTTTAGGTTCCATGATTAACATAATTAGAGTCGATTACAGTTGGACATGAATTCAATACATATCGATTGAAGGCAAACGGGCAACAAGCTGCGCCGCTAGTTCTTTTTGGATGGCAAAACCTATTCTTTTGAAAACAATATTTGTGGATCTAGGATATATGACATTATAATGCATGATCCGTTGGACTCTGTTGAGGAGCTCCACCGCCTCTGGTGCGAAAAAACTAAATGTATCAAATGCAAAAGGAACAAAAATGCGATAACTTATTTGTTTTTATTTATTTTTTAGAAAACTATACAATGGTAAACTTATTTGTTTTTAATTGCGATAACTTAATATGAATAATTTATAATAAACTATATCTTACAAGCCAAAAAAAATGCGAAACGGGTCGGGTATTTTCCAAGTTAGTTATGAAACGAGTCGGGTCGCTCGG